TGAAGGAGGCTGATAGCCATGCAGTGGATGGCTTTCACAGAGTTCAACCTTATTTCTTTCACAGTTACCACCGACATCCTGTTGCACATTGGGGTGGGGGGGGGGGGAGCAATGCCAGCTAGCTTATAGAGTTTATCAACAGGTGTAGGTTTGAGGCATCCTGTGATTATTACAAAGAGTTGGCAATTATAGACATAAGCTATTGTTCGAAGCTGGCATACACACTATTGTTAGTGCCACATGTGATTCCTAAATATCAAACTGCTAACAAACCATAGTGAGGACCATTTTTCTACCTTAAAAGATTGCTTTATTGTAGTGACAGTCATAAACTCATTGATGAATGGAAGCTATGTACTCAGCACATTGAGAACAACAGAGTGAGCTTCATACTGTATGTTTGTTTTAAATACAAAATATGTGAATTGGGTGGCAGGAAACTGAAGGAGACACTGCCTATTGGTGGTGGCATCTTGCAAGCTAGTGGAGCAAATATGCTGCTGCTGGTAGGCAGGATATGTGTGAATGTGCCTTCAAGTGGACTGCTGATTTATTGTGAACCCATGCAATCTAGGTGGTCGCTTAGTAGGCCTGATGGATTCAGAAGACCTTAGTGAAATGTGAGTTTTAACAAATATTTGGATGGAACTTGCTTGAAGTTTCCCTTGCTTGGATTCTTCTTACAGCAGCCCTTGATTCTCTGGCTCTTACCATAATATTTTCCCCTCAGCAAACCCATAAAAACCAAAGAAATTTGAATTTATATACTGCTATTACCTTCACTGTGGTTGCATGCCTGTCTTCGTCTCTCACAAAAGGATGGAAAACTAATAATTCTTCAGTTCCCACTTTGAAGTATAATGAGCTGTTATATTTGTTATTCATTGAAGTTACAGTAGAGCACCATGTACAACAGGATGAAATCCTTTGATGAGAAAAGTTCATAATGTTTTCTTGAATTTAGCTTGGACTTTTCCATCCTCTCTACTAAAAATGAAAAAACATTGGCACAGAGCATGGGAACTCCAAGCTAATGAATCTAGAGTTAATGATACTGGCTGTAGAAAGGTGAGTGTAAGGAGAAAAGAAAGCATCATTGAACCAGCTGAAACTCATACCCACATAAATTGATATAACATGCAGTCTGAATTCATATTTTAAATTTCTGTTTGGCTTCCTGATCAACATTCTAGGAGGCTTCAAAAATGTAATAATATTCCACAGAAGATTCTCAAGACTAGAGTCCACAGAGTTCATAATGTCCTCCAAATGTGTGTGTTACAACACCTATCATCCCTAGTCATTATGAGCAGTGATGAGAATTTGTAATTACCACATCTGGAGGATGCTACATAAGAGAAAGAAAGTCTTTTGTGCTGAGGAAGGTTTACTACTCTATATTGCAAGTTTCAAAAATAATCCTTAAAAACAACTCAGAGTATAACATTATAGCCAAGATCTCAGCTACTGTAACACAGAACAATCCAGATCTCAGAGGATAAGCCTCCGTAAACCCCAAAACTTTACTTTTTTAAAAGAGCACAAATGACCCAAATGTGCAACCTTCACTCAACATTGAATACCAGAAAGATTGTGGACCTACCATATGAACATCCTAAATAATAAACAATGAAGATCTGCATAGTTAAAGCAATTGTATTTCTCATAGTAACCTATGGGTGTGAGAGTTGGACTATAAGGAAGGCTGAGGAAAGGAAGATTTTGAATTGTAGTGTTGGAGGAAAATTCTGAGAGTGCCTTGGACCGCAGAAAGATCAAACCAGTCCATACTCCAGGAAATAATGCCCGGCTGGTCACTGGAGGGAAAGACATTAGAGGCAAAGATAAAGTACTTTGGCCACATAATGAGAAGACAATGATGCTGGGGAAAATGGAAGGAAAAGGGAAGAGGGGCCGACCAAGGGCAAGATGGATGGATGGTATCCTTGAAGTGAATGGCTTGACCTTGAAGGAGCTGGGAGTGGCCACGGCCAACAGGGAGCTCTGGCATGGACTGGTCCATGAGGTCATAAAGAGTCAGAAGCGACTGAATGAATAAACAACAACAACAAATAACTGTCAGAGCAATGTTAATCCCACCTAATTTTCAGTTTTTTTAAATAGTTTTAATTCATTGCTTTCCCTAACTGTTAACATGCGTTACAACCCTGGGGGAAGAAATACTTTTAAAACAAGTTAGCATTTTCTTACTGTGCCCTCATTTGACTCTTGACCAGAGGCCTTTCTTGGTGTTTGTTACTAGATTCCTATTTCATCAAAAATACCAAGAATTAAACACTAGATAAGAAAAAAACACATTAGCTTTCTTTTTGGGCTGTGGTTGCCATTGGTCTAATGTAACCTTTCAGCAGCGAACATGACAAAAGTATGGAGGAAACGGATATAAAATGAGTTAGACCATTAGTTCATTTAATTGATTGTGTTGTTTCAAGGTTTCAAGACAGGGCATATGTCTGTCCTGGCTCAACATGAAGATGCTGGGGGTTGAACCACAGAATTTCTATACTCAAAGTATGCACTTTACTACTGAATTCTGTGTCTTTCCTCCCTAAAGTAACCTGTAGAGCTGGAATGGGAGCTGTGTAAACTTCTGGCTGTTTTGTGGAATTCAGCTGCTAGAATTCCTCAGGATTGGCAATGCTGGCTGGAACTGCTGGGTCTTGCAGTCCAATAGTTTCTGCCAGGCTTCATGATTCTCCCTTCTTTTCTAAAGATCCCAGAGTATTGTGCATGCGTTTTTGTGTAGATAAAGGAGAATATGGGGAAAACCCGCATTCTGATAATTTTGGGTTTAAAGTTAACGTGGCAAAATTGATTCTTTGCTGCAAACGCATTGGTAACAGATATAGAAACATCAACGCAGCTGTAATATGGTTTTAAAAGAAGATTTTTGCTAATAGTTTGAGTATGAGAGTCATTAGGTCCTTGTAATGTTTGCATATATACATGTGTGCTGTTATAAATTATTCATATTATGATCATGTTGACTTTTCTGAAATAGGTCCTGTATGGTACCATTGTATCATGCAGCCAATGAATTTGGTAAGCTGCTTGGTAGAAAGGACTTGTTACAGTATGCAATACAGCTTCCTTGCCTGTACAATAGTACTCTGGGAAGCCTCCTAAAAGGACTAGCAGTAAAAATCCGAGTCTGTACTTCTAGAACTATACTACCAGAATACTACTGTACTATAACTGTTGGACTCTGCATGTGGAATTTCTTTTATCTCCTACTTCCCTAGCAATCTGCCTCTTGCTCGTGAGGCTCTTATCTAGAGCAGATTTTCTCCAGGTAGAAGGGTCTGTAGGGTTTAAAAGAACAGATTAAAATTGCATTCCATTTCTTTCACCAGCAAAAGTTTCCTGTGGCTGTAGTTCTTCTCAGTGAAGATCCAAGATTTTGGTCCTAGTATTAGATGGGTAGCTGGTGCTAGGGTTTATATATAGCATGGTGTATACTCCTATATAAGTCTAGAAATTTTGTTCAAAAATCAGCCCACAAAACCTGTGCTGATTTATCCATGGGTCAATATAAGTATCGTATCTTAACTTACCAAAAAAAGTACATTTTGTTTGTCTGAGTAGAGTGATGAAAGAGCTTAGTGCATTCTCAAATAACCTAAAATTAGCACTGATCCCCTCTACTCACTTTGCTGTGGCACTACATTGGGTCTTTTGAAATGCCTGGGTGGGGAAATAGTGGTGGTGGCCAGGGACAGCTTCCCCCCCAAGTCAGCACTGGTGGTTTTCCATCTCTGGAATTGTCCATAGATCATATCAAAATCCATAATTTTGACTCTGAAACCAGCCCTTGAGATCGACTTATACACTAGTATATGTGGTGGCAATGATAACAACAACAATAATATACATCTTATTCCTTCCCTTAAGCTGTGTAGGAAGATCTATAACTGAACATGTTATGGACATCCTCGTGACCAGCTCTAAATAATTTAATGTGTGGACATTGACTGACATACGTTAGTGTCCCTTGACTAATCAAGAGTGCTGTGTTGCATTTCCTCGAAAATGATGGAGTCTTGGGTTCTGTTAGTGGCTGCCAGATTGTGTCAGTTACTCAGTCACAGGACATAAGATTCTGGGGACATTTGAGAACAGGAAGTGTGAAGCTTGCTGCTGTCTCCTCAAGCAATTGTGTGACTTCGTAGACAGAGGCCTTTCTTCTCGTAGGGGGTCCTAGAAAGAAAAAAAAAGCTCAATTATTTCTAAGAATGTTGATCTTTTTATGTTTCAGGGCGATTTGAAGAGAGCGTGATTGAAGAGAGAAGACAGTGCGCAGAAGATTTGCTTCAGTTTTCTGCCAACATCCCAGCACTCTATAACAGCAAACAGCTTGAAGATTTCTTTAAGGTTAATACTTCTGAGCCACTCTGTGTCTCTTAAATGATGCCACTTGGCAGTAGGAGGAAAGTCCTCATACTGCTTTATGAGAGTTGCTGCTTTATGAGAGTTGATAGGCATACTGTTTGACATAAACATCAGAAAAGTGAATGTTAACTCTGGTGTAACGATGGATTATTAGAAAATGCCTAAGGTTTGTAGCCACCAATCTTTTAGATTTCATTCTCCATCTATAAATGGGATTGCTAATGATTAGCCTCCCAGGGTTGTTTGAAGACTGGATTAGGAGGCTTGTAATGCACTTCATGGAGCTGCAATAAGTTGACAGGCAAATTGATGGCACATATACACACAATGCACTTCTCACACTAAGCCAACATTGATAATTCTGTACTTCCATTGCCCACATCCTAAGAGCCCCCAGTGGTGCAGTGGGTTAAACCCCTGTGCCGGCAGAACTCAAGACCGACAGGTCGCAGGTTCGAATTCGGGGAGAGCGCAGATGAGCTCCCTCTATCAGCTCCAGCTCCTCATACGGGGACATGAGAGAAGCCTCCCACAAGGATGATAAAAACATTAAAATCATCCGGGCGTCCCCTGGGCAATGTCCTTGCAGACGGCCAATTCTCTCACACCAGAAGTGACTTGCAGTTTCTCAAGTTACTCCTGACACGACAAAAAAAAATTGCCTACATCCTGCTTTTCACTTAGGAAATGCATCTAAAGTTAAGCAGGTGGAGTGTCTCTTGATAAAGCTGGGGCAATAGTGTCCTTAATGCTGTAGGCCCTTCCCTCTGGGCTGTGACTCATTGGAAGAATTGGAAGCAGGAGAAGACTGTATGGATTGAGCATCCCTTGTCCAGAATTCTGAAATACAACATACTCCAAAATCCAAATTTGTTCACATTGGTATCTGAAATAGTGACACCTTTGCTTTTTGGTGGTTCAAGGTACAAACACCTTTTTCCATGCACAAAATGATTGAAAATTATACACACACACACACACACACACACACACACACAAAACATGCATGAATTTTGTGTTTAGACTAGGGTCGCATCTTCAAGAGATCTCGTGTATGTATGCAAATACAGGTATTCCAAAATCAGCAAAAAATCTTAAATAGAAAACACTTCTGCCCCTAAGCATTTTGGATAAAGAATACTCAAATGGTACTACGATGTGCTGTAATGCTTATAAAAATTCACATGAGTATGTGCAGCAGTAACCATCTGCTAGGTGCCTTGTAGTACTATCAGATTTGTATGGCAAAATACCATAGGTGGGTCTTCCCTGCCATAAATTGTTAGTATATGCGAGGAAAGAAGTGTTTCTAGTTTAGCTACTAGTCCTGCTTCCACCAATGTCTGAGATTCCATCTTAGGCTCCATATCCCCATGACTTTAAAGGGCTCTAATTATGTCCTCGGTGGTGCAGCGGGTTAAACCGCTGAACTTGCTGACTGAACAGTCGTAGGTTCAAATCCAGGGAGCGGAGTGTGCTCCCACTGTTAGCCCCAGCTTCTGCCAACCTAGCAGTTAAAAAACATATACTCCAACGGGAAGATAACAGCACTCCATGCAGTCATGCCGGCTACATGACCTAGGAGGTGTCTACGGACAAGTCCAGCTCTTCGGCTTGGAAATGGAGATGAGCACCACTCCCCAGAGTCGGAATCGACTAGACTTAATGTCAAGGGGAAACCTTTACCTTTACCTAATTATATTGTATTGAAGACATCACAACAAATTCTTGTTGAAGGGAGCTTCCTTTGCTTTGGGTTGTTGTAGGCTTTTTCGGGCTATATGGCCATGTTCTAAAGGCATTTTCTCCTGGTGTTTCACCTGCATCTATGCCAAGCATCCTCAGAGGTAGTGAGGTGAAGCTTTGTTTGCTTCTGTATTTTTTTCTGTGGAATTTTATGGAGTCTATATAGAGTATCCAGGAGACTGAACAGTCGTAGGCATTGAGCAGATCCAGGCATTGAGCAGATCCAGACTTTATCAGACACATTTGCACTGTGTACCTTTAGACCACACCACTGGATCTAATCATGGTTTGATATACCCATATTTACTCAAGTCTAATGTGCCATTAAATCTTATGCGTACCTCCATTTTCAAAACCTTGAAACCAAAAAAAGTATTTGTAGATGAATGCAATGCACAGCAGCAACAAGTACATTCTTTTAATTTGGCTTTATTTACAGTTACTGTCTGCTTAAAATTCCTTCTTTAAAAACAAAAGTGTTAGAACACCAAAACCTTCTGCAATGGAAAATAAAACCTTGGGGTTCATCTATACTGTAGAATGAATTCACTTTAACTCCCCTGTTTCAATGCTATGGGGCTGTAGTTTCACAAGATCTTGAGCCTTCTCTCAAGATCTTCTCCAAACCACAAATCCCAGGATTACATAGCATTGAGATGTGGCTATTAAATTACAGATGACATCCCTCAAATAGGAACTTCAGGTGCTCCTGAAGCAGCTTTCCCTTTGGCTTTGACTCAGCATTAAGATTACTATATTACGCGAATCTATTCTAAAGCCTTTGACTGTGTGGATCATAATAAATTGTGGCAAGTTCTTAGTGGGATGGGCATCCCAAGCCACCTTGTCTGTCTCCTGAGGAATCTGTACAAGGACCAAGTAGCAACAGTAGAACTGACCACGGAACAACAGACTGGTTCAAGATTGGGAAAGGCGTACGGCAAGGCTGCATACTCTCACCCAACCTTTTTAACTTGTATGCAGAACACATCATGCGATGTGCGGGGCTGGATGAATGCAAAGCTGGGGTGAAAATTGCTGGAAGAAACATTAACAACCTCAGATATGCAGATTACACCACTCTGATGGCCGAAAGCGAGGAGGAGCTGAGGAGCCTTCTAATCAAGGTGAAAGAAGAAAGCGCAAAAGCCGGGTTGCAGCTAAACGTCAAAAAAACCAAGATTATGGCAACAAGAATGATTGACAACTGGAAAATAGAGGGAGAAACCGTGGAGGCCGTGACATACTTTGTATTTCTAGGTGCAAAGATTACTGCAGATGCAGACTGTAGCCAGGAAATCAGAAGACGCTTACTTCTTGGGAGGAGAGCAATGTCCAATCTCGATAAAATAGTAAAGAGTAGAGACATCAGACTGGCAACAAAGATCCGCCTAGTCAAAGCCATGGTCTTCCCTGTAGTCACCTACGGATGTGAGAGCTGGACCTTAGGGAAGGCTGAGCGAAGGAAGATCGATGCTTTTGAGCTGTGGTGTTGGAGGAAAGTTCTGAGAGTGTCTTGGACTGCGAGAAGATCCAACCAGTCCATCCTCCAGGAAATAAAGCCCGACTGCTCACTGGAGGGAAGGATACTAGAGACAAAGTTGAAGTACTTTGGCCACATCATGAGGAGAGACAGCAAAGAGAAGACAATGATGCTGGGGAAAATGGAAGGCAAAAGGAAGAGGGGCCGACCAAGGGCAAGATGGATGGATGGCATCCTGAAGTGACTGGACTGACCTTGAGGGAGCTGGGGGTGGTAACGGCCGACAGGGAGCTCTGGCGTGGGCTGGTCCATGAGGTCACGAAGAGTCGGAGATGACTGAACGAATGAACAACAACATTACGCGAATCTAATGCACACCCTAATTTTGACAAGGTAATCTAGCCAAAAAAATAATAATAATGAGCGTTAGATTTGACTAAATACAGTAGTTCAAACCAACAAAATATTTATTGTTATTGGTAGGAGAAGCACAGCCAGTAACTATGGTTTGCAGTTTGTTTACCGCTATAGTTCATGGTAGCTCTTACATGCCATCTCTATGAAGGCTGCATAATGCTGACTCCCCTGGTTTTGTTCAGAGCTTGATTTTTAATGGGATGATTTTAGAGTTTTGGATTATTTTCAAAGTGTTTGTAGGTCGCTTTTCTTGTAGTGCACTGCCCTAAAATGAAAGATGAACAAATTCACAGGAAATAATTGATGAATGTGGGTTAATCATTTCTCTCTATCACTGTTTCTCTCAAGGATGGAGAGGTACATGATGGATCTGAGCTGATTGGCCCGGCAGAACCTCTTTTGGATTCCTTGACTGACAGCTTATCTATCTGCAGTTCTGAAGGTTGGCATTTGTCTAGTTTTGCAAGTTTTTCCCCTTCAGAAAACTCTGCTGAGTGGTAGGATGCTCAAGAAATTAAAAATGTATATTTTCATCCTAATTTCCTCTAGATGGCAGCATTAGCATTTCGTCTACAATTTTCTGATTCAGGCAAGCATGGGGAGTTTCTCAGAATTGCTACAAATGCTGTTCATTTGCTATATGGGATAAAGTACACGTTGATGTTGCTTAGTCAAGTTATTTTTATGGAGTTCTGCATTTATAAAAGGTGCCTTTTAGTACTGCGTGTCCTTTTCTTTACTTACGACATTTATTTATTGTCATTTCTGAGCAATCTTTAAAAAACACAAATGTGAAACAATGTAAAATCTAAAACCAATTATAACAGTCACAAGATATAAATCAAAATAAAGCACCAAAGAATGAGTTGATTTGTCAAGTTCAGTTTAGCTCATGTTGTTATTGTTAACTTTACATCATCTTAATTCTGTATTGGATTGTGAAATTATTTTAATTTTCATTAAAATTGATATATATATATATTTCTTGACATACTTTATAAACACTTGAAAAATCCCTTTTAATGTGTTATAAAATGTAAGAATACAGTACAAACCCCTATACCCATGGGACTGGGCTCCACAATTTCACCTACCCACATCCGACAAAAAATTTTTTTCTCTAGGAGTTTTCTAGGATCTTCACCTAAGTCTGTGGTATGCTTCTACCCACTGAATAATAGTGGGACTTTTGCAAGGAAACATACAAAGATTTTGTTACAAGATTGTTGTTTAAATAGAGCATATTTAGACTACAACTTACAGTACTCCAATATCTTTTAGTATCCCAAACACTTCATATTGTTGTTGTGTACCTTTAAAATATGTTTGCCTTTTGTCGACCCAAAAGTAAACCTATCATGGGGCTTTCTTTGCAAAATGTCCTTCTTCTGAGGTTGAGATAACGTGTTGCTAAAAGTCACCCAGTGGATTTGCATGACTGAGCAGGAATTTGAAACTTGGTCTTCAGAGTCTTATTCCAGTGCTCAGACCTCTGCACCATGCTGATTCCCATAGTTTTTCACACCCCACAAGCTGACCATTGAGTCATGCTGGAGGACCTACAGATTTGTAAAGAGATGTTCCCTCAGGTAAAACAAAAGTGTTTTTGAATTCACCTTTAACCTTAACAAAAATGGAGGGGCAACCGTGCAGTTTTGAACAACAACAACAACAACAACAACAACAAAACTTTATTTCTAAATGGCACCTCTCTCCCAAAAAGGGACTCAGGGCGGTTTACAATACAAAAACAGGAAAACATTCAATGCCTTACAAAGTAACAAACAACATCAGGAATAATATAAAAGAATGCACAATAATAACAGTAAACTTGTAATGGAAGAATTAAGCATTGAAATGGGGACTAGGTAGTAATAAACCAAATTAGACAATAAACTAGAACATGTGTAAACATTAATAAAATATTTTGTTAAGGTTTTTTCCCCCCATAAGGTTGGCTTCACTTTGCTCTTCTTAGTAGAATTGTCAGGAGCCTCCGGTGGTGCAGTGGGTTAAACCCCTGTGCTGGCAGGACTGAAGACTGACATGTCACAGGTTCGAATCCGGGGAGAGAGCAGGTGAGTTCCCTCTGTCAGCTCCAGCTCTTCACGCGGAGACATGAGAGAAGCCTCCCACAAGGATGATAAAACATCAAAACATCCGGATGTCCCCTGGGCAATGTCCTTGCAGACGGCCAATTCTCTCACACCAGAAGCGACTTGCAGTTTCTCAGGTTGCTCCTGACACAGCCAAAAAAAAAAAAAAAAGAGTGTAGAATTGTCAATTGTTAGCCATGGCATGGCGGGAAACCTCTTCTCGCTCCTCTAAAAGTTAGTAAAGGGCAGGAAGAATTAATGTACCTATATTGCATTTCTCTTTGCAGTCCTTAATGGTTTTGACCTTATTGCTTGGAAATGTGTTGCTTCATTAACAATAACATGTAATATGATAAGAACAGATTAGTTTGGAGGCTCCTGACTTCTCAGTTAGCTAGACTTTTAGAGTGCAGATAATGCGGACTTCTTGAATTTAAAAGTATGTTTGTTGTTCTGCCTTCAAGTCCTCTTTGACTTAGGGCATCCCTGTGGATGAGAGACCTCCAAGTGTGTATCTCCTCTGACAAATGTTCCCTCCCTTTTTTATGCTGAGCTGCTATGAGTTCTTTATCCAAGTTCTTTCTTTCTTTAATTAGTGCAATCTCTGTACTTGTTTTCATATATAAAAATTCATCAACTTTCTTTCCATATGCTCCTTCCCCCCTCCTCTTCTTTGTTTTTGAAGCACGGAAAGATGTTGGCGTCCTTGATGATGTGACACTTAGCCAATCAGAATATGGAGGTAAGAATAAATGGAATGAATTGGGAAGTCCTTGACTGTTTCTTTCTTCTGGTGTTAATGCAAGCAGGGCAACTGTGGCATTTCTTATTGCTTCTGAGATTAGCTGAAACCTTGAATTGCACTCCACGCAGCTGAGTTTCTTTTGACAAAGCAGGTAACCTGGAGGCCAGTTCTGTAACTGACAAGACGCCTACACGGAAATGGTGTTTTGTTACCGATGTCCTTCGTCTCTGAAACAGTGGGTCTTCACAGGGTGCCTGTTGTGGGAGTGAGACTTGAAGGAGCTGGGTGATGAAAGGGATCTAGACAATGGATGCGAGTGAAAGGATGACAAAGAAGTTTTTAAAAAATGATATGAGGGCATGTTTTTGATAGTGGGTACTTAAAAACTTGCTCTTGGGTTGATGACTGCCTGTTCTTCTGTTATTCCATTTGAGAGAGCTCTGGACTGCACATTTTCTGCTGACCTATTTAAAGTCCAATTTTTAAAACAACATCAGCCCTCTTATAAGTAATTGATCTTAAAATATCAAGGATATGGTGGTTGTACCGTAATGTAAACCATTATAAATGTGGTTTGGTTAAACCATTCCAAAAGGCTTAGCAGAGTTACTGGTTCTCAGTAGGAAGGGATACATATTTTAATAATTGTGTGAGGAGAAACAAGCTTTCGGGACAGCACAATAAAGCACCGATAGGAAACCTTACCATGCCAACTAGATGTGGATGATTGAGATGTTTTTAAACAGTATATTTTAATGTTGAGAAAAATGTTTTTAATGTTTATGTATTCATATACTTTATTCATGTCTCAGCACTGAATGTCTGACGTTTGTATGTTGTGCTCTGCACTGAGTCCCCTTCAGGGTGAGAAAGGCGGAATATAAATGTTATAAATAAAGAAATAAATAATACTCATTGCAAATCTGAATACTTGGAGCTTAAAAAATGTTAGTGGGTTTGACTTTGTGCCAGAATGACAGCAGCGCTGGCACAAATCAGATCGCTAATGAGAGGGTATTCTGTAAAGAGGGTGCTACAGGAGAGAAGATCCTACCCCATTTGCTCCCATAGTGTATTGCCACCAAGAACCGCTCTTGGACAGGTCTGCTGTTTCAAAACATTTTTGGTGATGATGGCAGTGGCTGGGGCATGCAGATTTGGGTGGTACATAGATGCAGCCCACAGGTCAAATATGAATCACCACTGATTTAAGAGATACTATCTCAGAGTAAGAAAATGGTAAAATCTAAACAGTTCCAGCCCAGCTTACCTGTTCGAACATATTTCCCTCTATGATTCCACTCAGAGATTAAGATCTTCTGGGGAGGCCCTGCCCTTGGTCCCACCCCCTCCACAAGCATGTCTGGTGGGGACGGGAGACAGGGCCTTCTTAGTGGTGGCCCCTTGGCTATGTAATTCCCTCCCTAGTGAAATTAGAGCAGCCTCCTCTCTTATGACCTTCAGGAAGAAGGTAAAAACCTGGTTATGTGACCAAGCTTTCAGACATCAATATTTTTAGTGCAATAAGAGAGTAAGGAATTGTGAACGGACCAATTGAATGACTACGGATTTGATTTTTGGATGGTGTGATTTTAATAGCTTTTTAAAAATGGAGTTGTTTAATGGTTGGGTTTTAATATAAACATTACTGTATTATCAATATTTTAACTTTACGTTTTATTTCTACAATGTTTTCTATGGTTTATGTTTTATTATGGTTAGGTTTTTAATTTATAGTTATATGTTATGTCTTGCTATTATGTTCGTGTTCACATGTATGTATAGCATTGAATTTTGCCATTGTTAAGTTAGAAACAGCTTTGGGTCCCCTCAGGGGGAGAAAAAGTGGTATATAAATGTAGCAAATAAATTAATAAATTAATAAATTAATAAGATTAGACTAGATGAATTCCTAATGTCTCCCAATTCCTTTCTTCCATTCCACTTAAGGTTTCTCCAGTGACAGTGACTTGATATCTTTGACTGTGGATGTGGACTCTCTTGCTGAGCTAGATGATGGAATGGCATCTAACCAGAATTCTCCAAGTCGATCTCTCGGCCTCGGCTTTACCGCTGATCCTCCAGCACAGGCTTCTGCCATTTCGGATCATGAATGGAGCAAACCTGATGGCGAGAGGGAAAGCCGTGGTCTGTTTACTGGGAGTTTAAAGGCCAGGCTTGGCAGGCGAGACTACTTGGATAAAGCAGGGGAGCTGATAAAGTTGGCCTTGAAGAAGGAGGAGGAGGAAGATTATGAGGCAGCTTATGGTTTTTATAGGAAAGGAGTGGATCTGCTCCTAGAAGGGGTTCAAGGTATGATCTTAATTCTTTATTTTTTTGTTGTATTAGTTTTTTTAAATGTAAATTAAGTCTTTATCCCCCACTTACCATCAAACGTATTCACAGCTATTTTCCTACCACCAAGTATATTTTTAAAAATAATCTGCATGCTGATAGACATTGGAATGTTTTCCAGGTGTGGAGATGTTCGTTTTTTGGACTACAGCTCCTGGAGTCCTTCGGTGAGCCTGGTCACTGAATAGGGATTTTGTAAATAATAGTAAATAATGACTCCCCCACCCTAAAGCTTGAATTTTTATACATATACTTTTATTTTAAACACAATACCAGGGCTCATCCTACTGCTAAAACATGCCTGGTTTAGAATTTACACATGTTTACTCTTCAATCTATATCGCCATTTCCCAATCATTAGGCCTTATGTCTGATTTCTTTCTTGCCATGTGATGAATGAGCACTGAGAAATTTTGTTCCAGGGAACTGACTTTCCAGATGCCCCTGGTAGTGTAGAATATAAGTGTTCCTGGCACCTTTCCACCCAATTAAGCCCATAATAAATAACAATGATGCAATATATTTGCATTGCTGTTTTCCGGAAGGATTTTTGCCTGTATGCCTAGGAGTAACCTTTCCTCTCAGTGACTGTGTAATAAGGAGTGACATAGTAAGGAGTTTGAAAGTTTCACTTAGGTTCTGTTAAGTGAGGTTTCAAATTAATTTTAACTATACTTTATGGTGTAGTGGTTTGAGCATTGGACTACAACTCAGGAAACCAGGATTAAAATCTGTGTTCCAGCATGGGAAAACACTGGGTGACCTTGGGATAATCATACAGCCCCTCTAATCAGATCTTGCTAAGAAAAATCCGTAATAGAGCTTGCCATAAATTGGAAGTGACTTGGTGACCCTCAACTATAACAACAACACTCATAAACTATCCTTTGAAGTTGACTGTTTTCAAAGTTATTCAGATTAGCCTTGTTGGGTGAGATTCGGTTTATCAAAAGTAGAAGGAAAGCCTGAAAACTACTTATGGCAATGCAAGGGAGGAGAAAAAGAAAATACAAGCCGAAGAAAATACAAGCCATGGGTTTAGGTTGGGATGCTGGGATGGTAACACTGTGGCTTTTTGTATTTATTATTTATTTCGTATCAAAAGCATTGCACAAATAAGTATAAAACTGATAAAAATAAAAGGAGCACAAGCGGCTAAATATTTTTTGACCAAAAATGGGCAACAGCTACAGCATTGTCTGTAGCTTTAAACGATTCTTCCTCTGTAGACACTTCTGAGTCTGTTCAGGGGCTTCCAAGTTGCCCATTCTTGGTTTGTCCCTGGAGGAGGACCCTCATGGGGGGGGGGGCATCCAATTGGGATTTCCTGGTTTAGCTGCCCAGAGGGATACTCTTGCTGTTGATGGGGGAACATTAAGATGAGTGGTGATTCTCATGAAGTTTTTCCTTGATTTGAATCTACTGGGAGGAGGCTGATAGCCATGCAGTGGATGGCTTTCACAGTGTTCAACCTTATTTCACAGTTAGCAACAACTTCTCATTGCACATTAGAGGGGGGGGGGGGCAATGCCAGCTAGCTTGTAGAGTTTATCAACAAGTGTAGGTTTGAGACATCCTGTGATTATTCTGCATGTTTCGTTCAATATTATATTCACCTGCTTCACGTGGGCAGATTTATGCCAGGTGGAGCAGGCATACTCAGCAGTTAAATAGAATAAGGTCTGGGATGATATTCTTATTAATTTTCTGCAGGATGTTATTGCATGCAGCTACTTTGTGCATGCAGTATTTCCTAAATGTTAGTGTTCGATCTAAAGTGACACTGAGATATTTAGGCATTTTGCATGAAGAGTACCTTTCTGGTGTACTAAGACCACATGAGAGTATTTGATAACAAAATCATTTGAATTTTTCACTAGGGTTGGCAGAATTCTTTCTCTTGAATTTTAGTTAAAACCTGAAGTTTGCAACTTGGCTGTTCCACACTTTCTCATTATGTCATTATGATTCATGCTGAAATATCCCCTCCCAGTTGTTTGTATTATTAAAGCAATGCCCTTCGATATAAGTGGGGACAATAACAAATTAAAGTAATAAACCCTCTCTGGAGTCAATCTGATGATACATAGCAACAATGTTATAACATAATTCATAATATTGCATTATTAGTAATCAAGATGCCTCTAATAGTGTGACACCATTTTCTAATGCTGTAACATTAGAAAATGTTGATCATTTCCACTACCTTGGCTGCCATCTCTCCACAAAAGTGAAAAACTCCTGAGCTCTGCGAGTGCAGCATTTTTCCGAATGAAGCAGAGAGTGTTTGAGGACCAGGACATCCATAGGGATACCAAGGTGCTTGTTTATAAAGCTATTGTCCTCCCAACCCTGTTATATGCCTGCGAAATGTGAATTGTCTACAGATGTCACACTCAACTCCTAGAAATATTCCATCAGTGTTGCCTCCAAAAAATCCTGCAAATCTCTTGGGAAGACAGGTAGACAAATGTCAACGTGCTGGAAAAAGCAGACCACCAGCACTGAATCGATGCTCTTACACTATCAACCCTGCTGGACTGGTCACATTGTCCAAATGCCCGATCACTGTTTCCCAAAGCAGTTACTATATTCCTAACTCAAGAATGGGAAATGGAATGTTGGTGGACAGGAAAAGAGATTTAAAGATGGGCCTAAAGCCAGCCTTAAAAACTGTGGCATGGACACTGAGAACTGGGAAGCCTTGGCCCTTGAGCACTCTAACTGGAGGTCAGCTGTGACCAGCAGTGCTGCACAATTTGAAGAAGAATGAATGGAGGGCAAAAGGGAGAAATGTGCCAAGAGGAAGGTGCATCAAGCCATCCCTGACCGGGACCGCCTTCCACCTGGAAACCGATGTCCTCACTGCAGAACATGCAGATCAAAAATAGGGCTTCACAGCCATCTATGGACCCACTGTCAAGACACTGCACTTGGAGGACCATCATCCTTGGTCTATGAGGGATTGCCTAAGTAAAGTATGTCACAAACATATTATGTATGGGGTTTCAAATTGCTTTATTTCTTTTATCCCCTTTTAATAGAGAAATACATTCTTGCTTTCTTCTTTCTCTTATCTCAAAGCCTGTATAAAGGAGGACTTCTTTTCTTCCCTTTTCCTACCACATCTTTCAATTTTATTTCATTGACTTAATGTTAAGTATAGAAAGGATTGTGAATATTTTATTTCAGCAAATGGTCAGTATTGAAAGCAATGTATAAATGTTGAAGTGATGGTAGAAACTGAAAATAACATTGCAGATCCATATTATTGCCACTTGGTGGTGCCAAGCAAGTATGAATTGGTGCTCTCAAATTTCAGTGGCAGCCTAGAAGAGAAAAAAAGCAGGAGAACATTTGTACTATCCCTAGAATTGAGAGCATTTACGTTATTTGTGCCATATTCCTGTTGAAGTTTTCAACCACCTCTTAACATCAAAATGATTTAGTGACTGAAGAAATGGATTTAGTAACTGAAGAAAAGCTTCCCATGCTTACCGGTGGGCTGTTAGGAATTGTGGGAGTTGAAGTCCAAAACACCTGGATTTAGAATAATCTCCCTATTGAGGTTATGGAGGTTTCAATTTTTGGTTATTTTTCTGCCATCAGCCAAAGACTGATTTCTTTGTGCAGGCGGTTTCTGATTATTAAGATTGTCAGTTCTCTCTGTTTTTTAATGAATTAATTTTAACGACTTTTACTGATTTTATTATTTAGGTACAGTTCTTTCAGGCAGTTGGTGTTTTTTAATCATAGGTGTTCTCACTGGACTAACTTGGCTTGGACTGTTTTGGAGGCTGTCTGATTCTATTCCCAAGTCTATCACTTCCCCATTTACTCTCATTAGAAATCAAATACCTGTCATAATCTTTTCCCTGTATTGAAATAATAGCCCCCTAGGAACAGAATATGCTTGCCCAATTTCTGACAAATTGATATTTTGTTTTATCTGCTTTTAAAGTTGATATACATTTTAAAAAGAGTAAACTGTCAAGAAGACGTTTCTTTCATGGCAGAAGGGGAAGAAAAAAAATGTTCAGGCATAGTTTCCTCTCTTGAAAGGATCAGGTGCTGCCAAGTCTCATTAGTTAAAGCCTTTACATTTAGATTTGTACAATAGCAGCCTTTACATTTAGAGGGCGTTCGAAAGAAGACTCTTTTAACCCCCAAGGTTGCATGTATATCATTGGTCTGAAATTGTTAGAAATGATAAAAGTTAGCTCAAAGTGAAACCCCTGTACAGTTTTCCATGGGTAGTTGTAATGTTTTTGTTGAATGTGACTCTTCACATTTTGTGTGATTGGCTTCCTCTTTCCTCCCTGAATCACTTTTGAGAGAGAAAAACAGACTTATTATTATTATTATTATTATTATTATTATTATTATTATTATTATTATTATTTACATGTACATAGCAACACAGCACACATTAGGTCCAAGTGTCTGGAATTCATCCCTGAATATTGCGCTCTTCCGAAGGGCCTAGGATATTGTTGTTGTTTTTATTAGTATTATTATAGTAGAATCTCGCTTATCTAACCTTCACTCATCCAACGTTCTGTATTATCCAACGCAGTCTGTTTCCCTTCCGGATCCACAGCTGTTTCAATACATTGCGATGTTTTGGTGCTAAATTTGTAAATACAGTAATTATTGCATAACGTTGCCATGTATTGAACTGCCTTTTCTGTCGATTTGTTGTGAAAACATGATGTTTTGGGGCTTAATTTGTAAAATCATAGTGTAATTTGACGTTTAATAGGCTTTTCCTTAATCCCTCCTTATTATCCACCATTTTCACTTATCCAACGTTCTGCTGACCTGTTTATGTTGGATAAGCGAGACTCTACTATATTATTATTACGTTTTGGGGCACTTTAAATGAAAACGAGGCAGATTATAGTCGTAACCCCAAGATCTCAAGGCAAGAAACTCATGGTTTCAAAAAAATGCTTGCA